AAGAGGTTTAATGGACTCATGGTTCCACGTGGGTAAGGAGGCCTCACAATCATGGTGGAAGGCAAAAGGCACATCTTACATGGCAGCCAACAATAGAGAAATGAGAACCAAGTGAAAGGGAAGTTTTATATCCTTATAAAACCATCATATCTTGTGAGACTTATTCACTACCATGAAAACAGTATGGGGGAAACTGCCCCCATGATTCAGTTATCTCCCACTGGGTCCCTCCCACAACATGTGAGAATGATGGGAGCTACAAATTCAAGATGAGTTTTAGGTGGGGACACAGCCAAACCATATCACCCTCAAAGGTGAAAGTTTGTGTTTATCAAAATTTTCCCTCTACTTTTTCCCTTCAGGTTTTCTTTTGCTATTTCTTTTCATCCATATTAACTTAAAAGAAAAGATCTACATCACTGAAAGACCTTGAGTTGAGTGTTTTTGTGTGTGTTAGATTTCTGTTAGTTCCATATTATCACAGGACTGATTCTAGAAATGGGAAGTAAAGAAGGAAAGCGATTGGCAGGAGGAGTTTAGGATGGTTTCTTAAAGTAGGTAGGTGAAACTGATTTGAACTAAGTTCTGGAGGATAGAGATAACATGCTTTGCTTCAGCGCACAAGAACTCTAAATTTGTATAATGGCTACACATCTTCTGGTAGCATTGTCTTCTACATTAGAATGCAAAAGACTTAGGGCAAGGGCTAGTGCTCCTCGTCTTTTGTACCTTACAGCATGTAGCAGAGTGCAGGATGTATTCATCAAGGTCCAGCTCAATCGTCAGCTCCTCTCTGAAGCATTCTATGACCCTCTGACAGTTGTTACTCCTCGGTTTTCATCACATATTTCTCTAAGCAAACTCTGGTCTTGGTCAGCATGGACTGCTATAACAAAATGCCACAAACTGGGTGGCTTAAACAACAGACATTTATTTTTCATGGTTCTGGAGTGGAAGGGGGAAGAGTGAGAGAGAGAAGAAGAAGAAAAAGAAGAAGGGGAGGAGGAGAAGGG